GACAAAGATAATCGTGTTTTAGTGTATAGATGTCACTTTATTCCAGTTTTGTCATATAGTGTTCGACTTCATTTTTCTCCTCGAAGGAGTCGACATCAAAATAGACATCCATACACCATTCGATAGAAAATTTCAAGGGCTACATTTTGCACTAGTTACATTAAAGAAATGAGCCACTTTAGTTTTTCGCCCAATGTCCGCCTGGATGCCCACTGTGCACCCATTGTATGCCCACACGAAGAAAACAAAGAGAGTAGGTTAATCAAAAAAAAATCCATTAAGAAAAACAACGAGTCTACATTAAAGAAATATTTACACAAAACAAAGATTGAATGAGGTAGTGATATGTGTGTATAATAGAAGGACGAGATACAAATTTAGTAATAAATACGTTGATCCATGTATACCAGTAGGATAAAAGAAAAAGATAGCAGTAACAGGGCCTTAAGAGACATTTTGCCACCACATCAACCATAGTGCCAAAAGTCAGTCAAGTGAAATTTTTGACCTATATATTGTTTTATATTTTTGGATTCTATGATCAAAACTGGGGTTATGAAAACATTTTAAGGTCGTTTGGACTTGATTTCGCCGAGTTATAGAATTTATAAAATTAGGTGTATCGAAGATTTTCAAACAAGCGCCCTCCGTGATTTTTTGCCTATAACTTCGTCAAATTTTATCCGTTCTATTCGAATGACGTCTCATTCCAAAGTTCATCAAAAAATGAACAAAATCAGATGTTTCTAAACTTTTTCGACCGGGAACTGGATTTTTTAGAAGCCTACCATTTGAAAAATGACTAATTTTAAAAACAAAATTTTTCAATAAAGTTTATTTTTCTCCATCCAGTAGATTTCTCGCAAAATGTAAGTCAGTGCGTTTTGTAGAGCGCACAATTCTCTATATAATGACCTATAAAACTTTCTTTCACACCCTCAGGAACATGTTGAAAAATTGCTTGCAATTATTACCATCAAAGTAACTATACTATCATTTTTTTAAAAGTGCAATCTTTCATGAAAAAAAACGCACTTTTTATATGAAATCAAGTACGCTGATGAAGGTACAAGTGGTTATAGATAGACATATTATAAATATTTCAATATTTTATCTAACACCAGTACGTTTCCTTGATGACGAACGTTTTTTAGCCGGGCGAACATCAGTCGTTGATCCAGCTCTTTTATCTGGTGACACTGCTCGGTTTCGAGAGGAAGCTGGAGGTGATGATTGTTCATTGCTAATTCCCATTGAATTTCTTAAATTATTTCTTTGCTCAGTCTCTTCAACCACCTGATTATCGTCAAAGTCATCGTCATCTTCCTCCTCCACTTCGTCTACAATTACTGTTTCTGTTTGCTTTTCACGTACTGCCTTCAAACGTGAAAAGAACGATCTGATCAGGCCAGGTTTTAAAAACTCGACCGGTGTGAAACAGAATCTATCCTTTAAATCGTTCTTTCGTTGCATTTCAGCTGATACTTCTTCTGGTTTCCATCGAATTCTCTGTTGTACATCCTCATCGACTTCTCAGTGAGATATTGTATCTGAGATTCATTCAGACGTATGACGATTATTCAGACGTAATACTTCTGTAATATTCCACGTAATAATTCTGTTATATTCCACAAAATTCTGCTTTGCTTGGCCAAATTCTGAAAATATTTCACAAAATTCTGCTGGTTTAGGTAAAATTCTGCCAAATCTGTGACAAATCTAAGAGAATTCTTGCAAAACCCTGTAATATTCCACAAAAATCTGCTTTGCTTGACCAAATTCTGTTATATTCCACAAAATTCTGCTTTGCTTGACCAAATTCTGAAAATATTTCGCAAAATTCAGATAGGATTTCGCAAAATTCTGCTGGTTTTGGCAAAATTCTGCCAATGCACGCGAGCATCGAGTGTTGTCATAATGTGAAATTTTTTAACCTATACTTTTTATTACATATTCGGATTCAGCACACCAAACTGTGGTAACGAAAATTTTTTTAAAGAGTTTGTACAAAACGGGCGCCCCATGATTTTCATAAGTCGTCGAGATTCGTTTTTGTGCTAGGGGCCTGAACAACACATTTTCTAACTCAATTTTTGACGCTGATTCCGAATATGGTATTAGTTTTTTGTTTAGACTGCATTATGATAGGTAAAAGTGGGGAAAACTAGAAGAAAATGAGGTATTTAGTGTCCGTTGGCCATGTGTTTCCAAAATTTGGTCACTTTGCGCCCGACTTAAAATTTTTAAAGACAGCCTGTCTTGTAGAGAATTCTGTGCGCCACAAGAATCCTCTTGAAAACCTCTGGATACTTTTGACTTGCTTTAGAAAAAAGCGACAATACGATTAAAAAAAACATTTTTCAAAAAAACCCGTTTTTTTCGGAGTTATCTTTTTATGAAATTAAGTAGCTTTTGCGCCAAACCTACTTTCAGATAAATTTTCTGACCTAGTTTTACATGCTCTTTTATTTGAAATGTTGTTCGAAAGGAACGTACAAAGTTTGGTGGAGTTATAAGCGAAGTATTCAGAGAGTCACTTTTTGTAGGTTTCCTTGATCCGCTCTCATTAAAATGCGTATAACTCGGTCAAAATTCATCCAAACGCCTTAAAAATTTTTTCGTCACCACAGTTTGGTGTGCTGAATCCGAATATGTAATTAAAAGGATATGTTAAAAAATTCACGTCACACCTCTCATAAAAAATGCTCCATGCTCTGATACAATCTCTCTACAATTATGGATACAACAGAAGCTAGAGCTAAATCACAGCTTTTGTTCCTTGAGCTTTTTTAACAGCACGGGAAACAAATGCAAACTCACAGCTCCTTTTATCCGCAATCTTTTCCAAGCTTGAGCTTCTGGAACGTTCGAACCTGCACTGCACGTTCGCAAGCTCCAATTCTCCTGCGGCCGCTTGTGATACCTCTCTCTTATCTTTGTAGTCATTAATCGAAATTCCAATTTTTCTGATTTCTTGAAGTTTGTATTCTAAGCGTAAGAAATTAAAAAGTTATATGACCTGAGAGGTGCAATATTGAGCAGGGAAAAAAACGGTGTTTGCCACCAGAAATTTGTGAAAAGCCTCTGACAAATGAAAAAAATATATAAGTCGTCGTTATCGAAGAAATACGAAGCAGATTACTACGACGTTAGTCTTCAAACGTGTTCTTAGTAATTCAAAGGACAGGCGAATATAAAAGAAATTTATTTCAATCACTAATTAAATCGGTTTTAACAAATAAATTCAAAAACAATTTTAAGTACAATAGGCTAAATCCACCTGATACCTACCACGTTATACAGGACCTAGTGCGCACGGTCTCAAAACCATATTTTCTCATGGAGTTTTGCACGCTGATTCCAACGATGGAAACCGCAGATATTTTTCGCGGAAAAATGACATTTTTTAGCTATTTCCCAGCGGGAAACGCGATTTTGTCATGCTCATAGCGGCTGATCCGAAGCTGATAGAGTCAAGATTTTGGTCTCAAATGAAAGATCTCGACGAGATCTTTAAGAATCGATCCTCAAAAATCATGTGGATGAGGTCTGACATAGCTAGAACCTTGTCCGAAAAATCCGGTTTACCGGAAACCCCATTGCCCTGCAAATAAATTCTGAGTCGGCTAGTTGATAGAGCATTGAATTTCCTGCAAAACAAGACCTTCCACAAGTTTTTTGCGACTTTCCTGTGAGAAGATGTAGAGGTTTTCCTAAAACAACTGCTGTGCCTTCTTGAACGATAAACAGTTGTTCTCCCTTTTTTGCACTTTCTTGCTTTCAAAGCATTTTCTCTACATCTTCTCAGAGGAAAGTCGCAAAAACTTGTGGAAGTCTTGTTTTGCAGGAAATTCAATGTTGTATCAACTGGCCGACTCAGAATTTAATTACAGGGTAATGGGGTTTCTGAAGGGTTTCTGGAAAACCGGGTTTGTGAGACAAGGTTTTGACCTATGTTTGACCCGATCCACATGGTTTTCAAACGTAGATTCTGAAAGATCTTGTCAGGATCTTTCATTGGAGACTAAAACGAAGACTCTATCAGCTTCGGATCAGCCGCTATGAGCGTGACAAAATGGCGGGTTTTCGCTGGGAAATAGCTTTAAAAAGGGCATTTTTCACGAAAATTATTTTTTGGATAACTTTTCTTCCGCACTAGCTAGTGACATGCGTTTTTTACTGCTGGAATTAGCGTGCAAAACTGTATCAGGAAATGTCATCTTGGAATGGAGTGCATTAGTTCCAGTATAACATGGTAATGTTTCAAATGGATCCAGCGACATTTTAAACTCTAAAAGGTTCAGCTCGAAATACAATATTTAATCAAAAAACACGTGCCGGTAACATGGAAAGCTTCTCTACAGTTCTCAGTTTTATACAATACGTCGTTTCCCAGTGTGCAAGTTCAATTAACTTTTGTTTGTTACAGGACAACACACCAGGAGTTTCTAATTTTACCTAACAATCCTCCTAACGTTAGTTTTTCACTTTCTCGTTTTTTGAAAACGTTATCAATAATTTAATCTCCAATTTTCTCATTTTTCCCACTGCACAATGTTCCAATTTCTATTCTTGTCAAATACTTCGCCCAGAATCGTAAATCTTTCACTTGTGATGTGGGAATATTCGCCGGTAATACGACTGATGGGCGGAGTCCTTCGGAAATAACCAATGTGTCATTTATTACAATAGCTCCATTTATCCAGCATTCGACAACTTTGTCATTCTTACGAATTACAAAATGATTCCATTGCTTCAAATTTATTTGTGCTGAAGTGCGAATGCTAGTTGAACAATCATCAGCAACCGGGGAATTCACTATCCAAACTGCACCTACAAAAACGAGATTTCAAAGCAGTGTTTTAATGCACAATGTGACAAAGTCGAACAAGAGACTACGAATTAGAGCCTACTTTTGTACCAAATTTCTGCACGCCCGTTCCCCATTTTTAATCTCATGCCTTTTATAGAAAGAAAATAACCCCTAGAGAGAGGAGTTGACCCATGCCTTTTTAGTGAATCTGTCAAGAGTGTTGCAGTCAATTCGTTCATTTTCGGATGTGCTGTACAATTCGGTCCAATCAAAAAGATAAAATTCCTTTTTATTAGGTTTTCAGATCGACGCAGCTTCCTAGGGTTATACTTGTGCGGCCTTCTGAAGGTTTTGCCTGTTATGATATGGTGGAGTGGTTAGGAACTACAGTAGGTTGCAAAAGTTTAAACCTTTTTTTATTTCTAATTATTTCCGTTTGCTTTGAAGCAAACGACTTAGTTTTCTCATCAGTCGAAAGACTATCACTTGGCCAATATTTGCTATAAAATTGAGTTAGTTTGATCGTTATTAAGCGAAGTTAGGACTTTGCGAATTAACATAGAAGAACAAGAGTGATATTGTTTACCTAAAATCTAGAAAAAACGTTTAAATTATTATCTGTCAAGGTTAGATCAAACTATGTAAGGTCTGGTGCTCATATACTCACACTATCGATTTATATCGTACTTCACCAGGTTCACATACAAGATAACTGCATACTGGAGTTACATTGAATGCTCGTACATATATCACTCAGATATTTGCTTACCAATGTGTACGCCATAAAGATATGTGAATATCATTTGAGCAAAAAAAAACAATATGAAGGGGCCTCCTAGGAAAAAACGCTAAAAACCGCCAGTTTTTGAGCATTTTGACCATCAAGATGAAAAATTTTTTATGACGAAGTTATGCGCTTGGGCCGCCCGGTAGATCAAAAATGAAAAGTGTCGGATTTTCTTCTTGCGCTTTCTCATTCGGCGTAAAAAACTTCGTCATAAAAACTTTTTCATCTTGATGGTCAAAATGCTAAAAACTGGCGGTTTTTAGCATTTTTTGCCGATTTCGGGTCTCATGCTCGACCAAATGGACAACTATTTTTCGAAATTTTTTTTCCCAAAATAGTCCTCAGCGTGTGCGCTTTCTGATACGCTCCCTCCCATCGACCATAAACGGGTAGCAGATTTCGGCCCTTATCCGGCGGTGTCCTTTCGATGACTCATCGTTATTGGTTTTTCAAATATTTCAAACACCAAATGTTACTTTAAAACTTTAAGATATGTTGGATCTTGTAGGGAATGAAATTCTCTACAAAACTAAACTCTGTTAGAAAATTTTCTCACAAACTGTGAGGGAGAAAATTTGTTGATACTTAGTTTTCCCTCTTTTTCCTGCAAGATGCTGCTTCTCCCCTGCAGATTTCGCCCATTTTCAGTTCATGTCGAATATCAACAAATTTTCTCCCTCACAGTTTGAGAGAAAATTTTCTAACAGAGTTTAGATTTGTAGACAACTAGATTCTCTGCAAGATCCAACATATTTTAAAATTTTAAAGTAACAGTTGATGTTTGAAATATTTGAAAAACAAATAGGGATGAGTCATCGAAACTTTAATTAAGTCAAATTTTAACGCCCAAGGGAAGAGTTTTGAGCAAAAACT